TATGTATGTATGTATGTATGTATGTATGTATGTATAACAATGATTATCGCATGAGTGGGAAATGTACGGTACTGACTTACAGTGGTACACTGTAAGACGTGTTGTGATTGGAATGGCTTCCCATAAAGTATGTGTTATATATGTTTAATGTTTATATGTATGTAATAAATATCGCTCAGAATTCCAGTCTGAATGCCACATGAATGACGCAAAAGTAGGTGACTTTATCTTGTGACAATATCGTATAAAGCTAATTGGCCGGGAATAATTTTTTCACTTCCCACAGAGCCCTCAATGAGGTTCGCCTAGTTGCCACTCCACTCTCCATGACGAAATCTGTGTTGACAGTCATCTGTGTTATACCTCCGTGCCCTTAATGTGTACAAAATAACACTGGTAAACTCACAGCCTCCTAAAGCTTTGTTCCCTAATATGCCCTTTTTTCCATTATCAGTTAAAATTGATGGAAAAACTAAAACCTGCATATCTCGGATTGCTTCGCGTGACGCCGGCAAAAATATGGCCGTAATACTAGCCACGGGTATATAGCGCTAGCCGTTAACTAGMAAGCGTCCACCATTACGTATGGGGAGTTGATATTAACTATAATAACTACATTGAATTAATTAAAGAGGATTTGAAAAGCGTAACACCACCTAAAATCGTTGGGGTGACTGACAAGGCAATTTCTCGCCTTCTTTTGTTTAATTAAGAACAAAAGGTTTAGACAAAAGAAGGTGAGAAATTCGGGATAAAATCGCATGCGCAGTGGAATCGATTCTTAAACTATGAAAAGGCTTATACAATCCAGCCACGTTTCGTGGTCACAGCTTGTATTACAGCGGAGAAACTGGTAGAGGGGCCACCACGGTTGTGGGGCCACCAGTCGTTGCTGAGGAACGTCCCAAACTCGTCGCTGCAATACAAATTTAAAGCAGAAAGAGGGGTTCCTCTTCATATTGTGGCACAAGGCTATCCTTTTTGGCAAAATATCAGATGTTAGTCAAAGTCTATAAATGGCTACTTTCTAACTTATCCAAGGTAAGCTAGGTAGTCAATATAAAATAAAACACATATGACCTCAAACCGAGGGGGTTCAGCTCTAATAATGTCTTTCTTTGATCAAATTACGAGCGTTTTATAAAATAAAGGGTTGATTCTTCAAATAAATGCTTTAAAAGACATCGTGCAAAAAATAGGCGAATAGGAAATTTGTACTATTTGTGTTACATTTGAGTGTACTCTAAATAAAACTTCGAATGATTGTATCGTATCCAACTACAACTGGCCATTGTCTAGAGGTGACCTGTCTGTCCTAGTAATTCTTGTCTAGTAATTAATTCTTCCTCACAAGAATGAAAAATATATAGTATATAGAGAAGAAAACTCTTGGCCGACGGTTCCTTCGTCAACGACTTGGAAAAATCGAGAACACTGAAAATCAATAATCCTTTGACTTAAGGAAATTCGTGTTTTTGATGAAATATATTTGTTGTGTTTCAATTACAAATATATTTGTATTACGTTATGACGTTTGTGCATAGGCAACAACAACACAAAGGATTTTCCGACTAATGATTTCTTATTAACGATTTCTTCAGCCCTCAAAATATTTAAGTTACCCGCCGTGTTCACTATATGCTTAGGATTGTTCTAGAATTGAGATTAACACTCATCAGTGATAAACGTTGAATCCCAAACGAGCTCCAAAAAGTTCAAAAAATCGTGCTGCCACGTTATAAATACAAGTTGTCGTAGGGTAGATATTTTTTGGGAAGATTTTTGAAACGCACGACGTTTCTTATTTAGTATTTTTATTGACGTATACACCTTCTAGTTGCATCAGAAGGCTTCTCGTGTTGATTTTACATATGATTTTACTGAAAACTTTAAGATCAGATTATGAACTTTGATCATGTTACGGTGCAGATTGATTGTAATCTAGACGTGGCTGCAAAAGGCCGGTATTATATTCTTTTGCAACACGCAACCAGTTACGACACAGGTAGCCCAAGCTTGGTTTCTGTGGTGTCCTGTTATAAGGAAATGTATGGGGAATCATCAAAAATTTCAATAAAATCATCAAAACGTGAAATAAAGCCTCGAAATTTTACCCTATCATTGAGAAATAGCATTTCTTTCGCTCTGCGTGGTTATTTTTTGAATTTAGCCAGTTTTAAGGATTTTTTCCCAGTACTGGTCGGGGAAAAAATCCTTAAAACGGGCTAAATTCAAAAAATAACCACGCAGAACGAAAGAAGTGCTATTTCTCAATGATAGGGTAAAATTTCGAGGCTTTATTTCACGTTTTGATGATTTTATTGAAATTTTTGATGATTCTCCATACATTTCCTTATAACAGGACACCACAGAAACCAAGCTTGGGCTACCTGTGGTTACGATCGTGGAAAGATGTATAATTAATTGTATCAAAATGTAGCGGTCTTATTGACACCATGGACCCAACCGGTTGTCGAGTCGAGCTAGCGTGATTGATTTAGGACATTTATAGCTCATCTCTTGTTTATTCATCTATTTTTACTTATCTATTCATTTAATTTTGACAGAAACCGGTTCGTATCGCATTTCGCCTCTACAGTTTCTTCGGCCCCTTTCGAGTTACATCGCGACCTCTTGGTACTGTAGCTGCCGGAACTAGGGAAATAAATGTTAAAGCAGATTGCCAAGACCTGAAATTCGAGATTTTATTTTCCTCTTTAAATTTATTTTACCAAGAACATGTTATCTGTCAATTTTTGGCAAAACTTGTCTCACAATTTCGTCCTTCGTGTTGTAAGATGCAATACCTAAATAAGTCCTTCTCTTGTTGTCAAAACAGGCCGGTTCATAATCTTTTGGTTTGTTTGGGAATTTTGTAGGCGTCTGTTCGCATCCTGGAAAACTAACTTCATTTTTATTTCGCGCTTTGCGCGTATGCATTTATCATTAAGAAGGTTGGGGAAGGTTTATGCATACCAAGCCCGGAATGTACTATTGGTGATATGAATGGGATGAGTAGTCAAAGGCCGCAACGATATACGAAGATTTCCCAAACCTTGGCTTCTGTCTTCTGTGCTAACATTATTTACATATGATAAACAAAATATTTCAAGTCTGGTATCATACCCCGACATACAACTAACCTTTACCTATCTCTTTCGAAAATGCCACTTTTAAATCTTATTTATATAAATCCCATCCCGGCATTTATCTTTAGATAAAATATTTATAAAATATAACAACGCGCATGCTGATTGGCTGCCTACCGTATTTATATCAGAGCACAATGACACGCTCGCGCAAAACTGTATTCAAAAATTGTATTCAAAAATATTTTATAAAAGCAATAAAACGCCTGCTTGTGTTTTGGTATTGTGTTACAAACACTCTGGGAGCTGTAGAGCACTCGAGAAGCAAGAGAAACACTCGGCTACGTCTTGTGTTTCTAAGCTTGCTTCTCTTGTGCTATACAGCTCCCAGCATGTTTATATCACAAAACAAAGATGAAGTAACTGTATTGGATGTGCATAAGCATGCCCGCGGTACAGACAAGATTTTGTTGCCCGTATAATCGTATGTACACCTGCGAAATAGTTTTGAATTTTTTTATTTTTGTTTTCTAGGAATGGTCTCCTCATTATTCTAATATCCCGTTAACTGCTTCAACCATAAATGCTGTACCAATCTTGGAATCACAGAGGTGCTAAAGCCAATTTTGATGCATCGGTACCAAGGAAATGTTAGCTTCCGGCAAATTGCAGTTCATATGATCAGCCGGTGCTTGGCCAAGTGTTACCGTTTTTTCCTACCCAGGAAAATGCGAGACCCACTCAGAAGGTACCGACAGGTGTACTTATCTATTCTTCTGTTTGCTCTCTTCAACATAGCATTTTGGGCAGGATTTTTGTCGTCTCGTTTGAGCTACGAGCAAAGAACAACTGATCTAAGTGACGTGCACACGTTATCGGAAGGCCAAAGTAAGCAAGAAGATTTGCAAATATTGAGAAAACAATGGGAAATGAATAACAGAAGAAAATTGGATAATCTGAAGTTTCATAAAAGAAAAAGAAAATTGAAGTACAAATATTATGATGGGGCAAATCCTACCGGAAGTAGCGGAGAGCAAAGAGACGGAGGACAAAGCCGCAATAATGAAGTAAATCCAAGTATTGAACAAATGCAGGGGGAAATAACTAATGCATGGATAACAAATGTACCAATATATACTAAAGGGAAATTCTGGGACAAGGTCTCGAAAGAATCTAAAACGAATGCCCCTGTGTCAATAGAAGATCGTTTTAAGAATTTTGACAAAGAAAATAGCATTTTTACAAATAATGACATTAGAGAGAAGAATGACGAAGGTGCATTTTCTTTGCCAAGTCAAAAAGCAAAAGTTAAAGTCAGCCCAATTGAAGAAAGACAATCCATAGATGATGATAAGTCAAGACGCGAGTCGATCACTGAAGGAGATGACGAAGAGAATGTACAAATCCATGAATTCAAGGTAAAAAACACTCAACATGAAAAACAGACTGTATCTGAAACAATAGATGAAACGAAGGAAGAAAGGCAAGAATATTCACGAACTGATGACAACGCAGTAGAAATAAAGTCTGCCTTTCCAAGCTACACGACTAATCCTCCACAGCCAGCATCTAAAGATGAAAAGAAAGAGGATGAAAGATCGGTAAAAGATGAAACGGAGGACCAGAAAGATGAAAGCGAGAATGATAAAGGGGTAAAGTCTGTAATTACTAGTTACGCCACTGACTTCCGTAGACCACAGTCTGATGACAATGAAAGGAAAGAAAACGAAAGTCCAGCAGCAGATGAGACGGAGGACGAGGAAGATGAAACGGATGAAGAGGTTTCTCCGCTCACAAGTGTAAGACAAAAGGATGGGACAGTGTTTTCTCACGAAGAAATGCAACATAAGAGAGAACAACTTCAGAAAAATGAAAGTTTAAGTGATACTAAACAAGTTGAAGATCAGGATGACATTCAAAGACGTAATGAAGTGGATAGAGAGTCTCAACCAGATACAGTTCAAAATAGAACTCAACACCAAAGCCACACAGATAAGAGCGAAGGTGACGATGGATCAAAAAGCCTAACCACTGTTAATCACGATCACCACGAAGCAGCAGTGAATGAGGATACGAGAAGAGTAAATCACGATTATAAAGACGACCAGCAAGAGAAAAATTCAAAAGATAGTACAGAAGAAAATAAAGGGGGCAATGGAAACGTGCATGGACAAGAAAGCAATCCGATGGACAATCGTAAAAGGAAAACCAAAGACAACGAAGATGAAACAAAAGAAAGTGAAGATAATGATGAACATAATGAAAACCCGCAAAAAGCAGATGATGTGAGCAAACAAAAGCGAGATATTGACCAAAGGCAGAGAAAAGACAAAAACGAAGTCACAGACAACGAAGACGCGAGAGGGGAGATGCAAGGTAAAGAAATGCAAGGTAAAGAACAGCAAAGCATGACCGAAGAAGAGACAAGGAAACAGCATGCGCAACATCAACAACAGCCAGAACAGCAAGAAAAAACACAGCAACAACTCCAACAACAGCAACAGCAGTTCCATCATCATCATCAGCAGCAGCAATTCCATCAGCAGCAACAACTCCAGCAACAGCAGCCACTCCAGCAACAACTCCATCAGCAGCAGCAACATCAACAACTCCATCAGCAGCAACAGCAACGACTCCAGCAACAGCAGCCACTCCAGCAACAACTCCCTCAGCAACAACTTCATCAGCAGCAGCAACAGCAACGACTCCAGCAACAGCAGCCACTCCAGCAACAACTCCATCAGCAACAAGAGCAGAAGCAACTCCATCAGCAGCAGCAACAGCAACGACTCCATCAGCAGCAACAGCAGCCACTCCAGCAACAGCAGCCACATCAGCAAAAGGAGCAACAACAGCCCTTCCAGCAAGATCAGCAACAAGTCCATCAGCAGGAGCAACAGCAACAAGTCCATCAGCAGCAACAGTCTTTACTCCATCGGCAACAACTCCAGCAGCAGCAAGTACAACTACAAATACAGCAACAACAAAAACAACTCCAGCAACAGCAGCCCCACCAGCAACTTCAGCCGCAACAACTCCAGCGGCAGCAACAAAAACAACATAAAGAAGGAAGTGACAATAACGRTTCAGAAAGACAAACGGAAACAGATAAACAACGAAACGGAAACCAAGTTAAAGGACAAGAAGAATCGAACGATTTAAAGGCAAGAGAATCTAAAAGAGAAAAGCAGAGCAGAAACCCAAGCGAAAGACAAGAAATAGAAAAGGAAGAAGAGAAAAGGCAACCAGTGAAAGAAAAACAACAAAACAGAAAACCAAGCGAGAGACAAGAAAAAGTCGAGGAAGAAGAGGCTAGGAAACAAGAAAAGCAAGAACAACAAAACAGAAAACCAAGCGAAAGACAAGAAAAAACGGCTAAGCTGGAAGAAGAGGGAAGACAACAAGCCAATGAAGAAAAGCAAAACGAGAATCTGCAACAAGAGCGGAAAGTGGCGAGTAAAGAACGAACGCAAGCACAAGAAGATAAACGACTAAACCATGAAAATAGCGACGAAAATATAGAAAGAAACCAGCAAGAAGAGGAGCAAAGTAGAAAGCGTGGACGCGGATCTGAGAGCTTAAAAAGGCGGGAAAATGAGAAAAATGCCAATCAAGAAACAGGAAGGAAAGACGAGTCTAGTCTCCAACATCCTCTCATGCCAAGTGCAACAAAGAAAACAGGGATTTTGAAGCAACTACCCTTAATAGACATGGAGGACCTGGAGGACAAGAGACCAAAAGTTCTTATCGTTATATTTGTTTTATCGTCCGCTTTAAGGTACGATAGACGTCAAGCAATACGGGACTCGTGGTGGACGAAATGTAAAGAACCACAGGTAAGGACGAATTGAAAAACCTCCCACAATTATACTATAAAACTACTAATAAATGGTATGCACTCTACTGTAAAACTAGTTAGTCTTTGATAAATTTGCGGAGTTCATTATGAATGCAATTTCTACCAAGAAAAAAAAATCTTAAGTGAGTCCTTCCAACATTCTACTGGATTCAACGTCAATCAAAGAGTTTGAGCAAATAATTAAGCCTAAAAGGAAGACTCAAAAACTCATAGATGTTTTTTCTTTAACCATTACAGGCTGCTTGTATGTTTGTAACCGACGGATACATCGATGAAACACTTCACGATGGGCTTCTAAAGGAAAAGCAAGCATACAACGACATTCTCTTTCTTCCTGTCGACGAAGGCCTTAACTTTGGAATGCGCCTATTATTCTTGATGGAATGGGTTCAAGCTAAATATAACCCTGAATTTTTTCTTCGTATTGACGACGATTACTTTCTTTGTATCGAGCGGTTGTTACACGAGCTGCCTCAAAGACCTAAAACGAATCTGGTGTGGGGATTCTGGCATTGTGATCTAACTACAGTGGTTTTTATAGATGAATCTTTTATTCTCTTGTCTTATGATTTAGTCGAAAAATTTCTTTCTTGGGACGAAAAAACGTTACTGTGTCATCCTTTTGGAGACCAGCAGCTTGGAATTTGGTTGAACTCTGTACCAACTTTCAAGGGATTTTTTGATGCACGACTCCATCACGATCCCCCTGCATCTAAGAATTCTACTATTAGGAACTTGAATAACATTTGTGATAGGTTTMTAGGTCTACATGGGACATATCCTGAGGACATGAGGAGATTCTGGTTAAGAGGTAACGACGGGAAGAAGACAGTGACTAAATTGTACCCTTTATACCCAAACGCTTGTCACTATCGTCCATATTTTAAATGGCAAGACATAAAACCAAGTTTTAGATACAAGCCTGAGTTATGCAACAAAAATCCGAGATGGGAAAATAAAAGAGAAATGTGGACAGGAAGACAATAAGAGTTTAATTACTTGAAGAAAACGAGGAAAGAAATAAAGAAAGATAGATAGATAGATAGGAATAAAGGAAGGAAGGAAGGAAGGAAGGAAGAGAGAGAGAGAGAGAGAAAGAGAGACAGAGAAAGTATAAAACACAGACATAAGGAAATGAAAGGAAGAAATTAAGGAATGGAGAAAGCAAGGGACCAATTCAGTCTAAATCTAAGTTAGGAAGTTGATTAAATATGTTAATCATATTATAAGCTATTTGATTTATCAGGAAAAGGAGCTCAATATCGAATTCATCACATTAATAATATTAAAAGTTTAAATTTTCATAAAGATTGCCTCTAAAATGAAGAAAACATGACTTTTTGAAACAAAGGATCTTTGTGGAATTTATGCAAAGAAATGTATGTGTCTAGCCTGATAACGAGGCTGTTATCTTGGGAGGAGTTATTCTACAATTTCTTGGCAATTGAACCAGTCTTGGAATTTAATTGCCCCCTCTCCTCCCCTCCCCTCACGTCCCCTCTCCTCCCCTCCCCTCCTCTTTCCCTTTGGGTGCTTCTCTTCAGTATATTCTTATATTTATTGAAGGGGACAGATGGTTGAGAACAGTAGTCTTGGAAGACCTTTTTAGGTGGCCCTGGATTACAAGCTAATTTTTTCTATATTCATTAAGGGAGAGGGGATATAGATTTTTGATTTTTAGCTTTGTGGAGGACTAAAAAGTAACTGCTTAAATAAAGCCCGACATCCATCTCCTCTCCCGAACAAATTCAAGATGAACCAATGAATATTACTCATATGGAAATTTATAAAATACCATGCATGATTCCAGTCTTAGCCTTTGTAAGGCTTCAAACATGGATGACCTGTAAGAAACTGTGTAAGAAACTTTATCCGATCACCTTGTAGTTCCACGGTCCCTTCGTCTCTCACGACTCCACCACATCCTGCTCGCCTTTTTAACTCGCTCAAAAGAGCCTTAGCGTCTCCAGTAACATTACTGATAACTGTCACTTTTTTACCTTTAGCTCTGCTCTCACACGTCAGAGGAAGTTTCCCTTTCTTCGTTTTTCCTATGTGATAAATCGGGTTCAAATTTTGCACTGCCTCACATCCTGGTTGTGTTGAAGAAACAAGATTATCTGAAGGAAACACATTCTCTTGTCTTAAACATTCTGAAGTTTGAGTCTCCTTCTTTTCCTCTTCAACTGCTTCGTCGTTTTTCTTCTCTACAGATAAACTTGATGAGGCAGGGAGATCTGGAAACTGCATAAAGCTAGCTAGAGTGAGATTTGGAGGCCTTCCATCGTGGTCATCTTGTTTCTGGCCTTGCTTTTTACTTCGCTTAGGCATTTGGAATAAATGTCAATCTCTAACATACGTAAAGCTTTATCCTTTGGGCRTCCTTCTCTTCTTTTTCTCTCATTAGTTCTTTAAAAATCCTTAAAATATACTAAAAACATAACTTAGTATTCACATTCCCTCTTTTGCCTCTTACATTCAACCTCCTGGTATGACGTTTCTAAAGGTATCTACTTCATATGTATTATTTATCGGATTTTCTAGGATGATTCTTTTTTGAATTACATTAAGAATCTCCTTCATGAAGTTCCAACCTTACATCTTAGGTCTGCGGTATTCTACTTTGCGCATGAGTAGTGGGATGTAAACAAACGAGAATTTTCTAAACTCGACAAGTGACTGGAGTTTTGCACACCAAAAAAACACTTTTTAATACTTTTTTCTCAAAAATTAGCCTTTCTAATGCAACAAAATGAGCAGCGAAGAACTTTTCTACTCCTGCCGAACTGGAGATTTGGAGTCTTTGAGGTAAGAAAACAGATATGTTTGGAAAATATGGGGAGTTATTATATTACGTATTACAATTTTTCCCTGGTCTACTGGAGACTTGTTCGTTCCACAAGAAAAAACATCCCGAAACCTCAAAATTTATGAGTTTTATTGTTTTTTCCTGCTTTAAATAGCGCATCCTTTTTTATGAGTGGAACTAGAGCTTAAATTATCGAAAAGTTTTTGAGCTTTTTAGCGCTTATTGAGTTTTAGCAACATAAAATGGCTGTGCATAATACATGTATTGTGTTCTTAAAAATATGCAATATTTTTTGTTTTGTATTGTTAGTCATGCTTTGACAGTACTTATCATCAATTTCCAAGGAATTTTTTTCAAATACAGTGAATGTATGCAAAAATATATGAAAATTAAAGTCAAATACAAATTGATAAAAATCAGTCAAAATTGTATCACAAAAATATGAATTATTGAACATTACCTCCATTTTTTTATAAACATGCGAACTTAGTAGCAGCGAGCTACAGGCATAAATTTGGTTTTTCGCTGCCCTTTGGTACCTTTCATATTCACTGGCCACAGCGAAAAAAGTCAAAAAATCATAGTATTAAGAAACATACTGTAAGTTGCATATAAAACTATGCTTTTCTTAGCATTTGCTAAAAGCAAAAATCCCAGACATTGAATTGAATCTTAAACAGGAATTTGGTGGAAGAAACAGAAGTAGAACTAAATGTGAGAGATCAATGGGACAGCACTCCACTGTAAGTATGAGAATTCATAGCATGTACCAAATGCAAACTTGTTGTCCTTTGGTTTTAGTATAGAGACCAATACAGTCCACTGATAAAACTTGATGAAGGTTACCAAATTAAAAAAAAAAATTAGTGTGGTTTCATTGGTAAGTTAAAATTACAGTGCACCAGCAAAAGTAGGACCACATTCAATGTGTTTGCATACTTCTATGCACAGGTTCTGTACATCAACCTGACACATTTTGATGTAAAGTTAGCTTGCTGGTGTATCATTTTTTATTCTTTTCACTCAATTAAATTTTGGGTTGGCCATACGACATGGCTGCTATAATTTAAAACCTATGGATTATGTAAACTACCTTGCTCAATGTCATCATTGATTGTTCTGTTTATAGTTACTATGCATGCCTTTGTGGCCATGAAAACTTAGTGGAGTTCCTATTGGCTAAAGGTAAAATCTCTAATTTCCTCAAATTCAAAGCTAAGTACAGGTACTGCAAACATGTGGCTATCTGAATATAAAAATGGATTACTTTGGCGTGGCCATCTTGAATCACAAGGACTAGAAAGCTATTTTATTTATTTTCTTATATAAAAATGATTTTTTAAATAGTTTTTTGATACACTTTTATTTCACGTCTATGTAAAGCAGACTGCTTGCATGGATTTCATTATTTGTGACACATATCTTACCTTGTTTGAAGGTGCAAGATGTGAGCCCCATACATTTGATGGAGAAAGATGCATTTATGCTGCCCTTACAAATCGCATCAGGAAGCTGCTCAAAGAATACAAGGCCATAACTCCTGATTGTATGAGACGGGACTCGTACAGGGAGTTTTTTAGAAGGTATACTGTAGTATGAAAATCAATCAATCATTATTCTTTGTAGGTCTTTTCGGGAAATAAGAGTGGTGTAACAGTAAATTCACTATAGCCTCCCAACGCTGGAGCTCAGGTTTGATTCCGGGGCTCAGCATCACATGTGAGTAGAGTTTATTTGGCCTTCCCTTCCCCCCCCCCGATTTTAAAGTATTTTTTTGTCACGTTTCCCAGTTTTCCTCCCTCCAAATGCTAGATTTTGATTCGATCTATGAGCTAGCTAGCCAATAAAATGACCTTGATCAGCCCAAAGGTTGTTTTAGGCTGCTATATGTGAGTTACTGTAGCAATGTCCTCACTTAATTCAACCCACAAGTTGTTCCCTTGTTCTATCTGTGAGTTAGCTATAACCTGTCATTTGTCAGCCCAGAGGTTGTTTTAGGGTTGATCTCTGAGTTAGCTGTGCCCTGACTTTGATCAGCCCAGAGGTTGTTTCAGGGTTCGATCTGTGAGTTAGCCATGCCCTGACTTTGATCAGCCCAGAGGTTGATTCAGGGTTCGATCTGTGAGTTAGTCGCAACTTGTCATTGGTCATCTCAGAGGCTGTTTCAGGGTTTGCTCTGTCAGTTAGCCATGCCTTGACAGTCAGCCCATCAGATCAAATTGTTTTAGGCTCTTTCTTAATTCACTTTAATTTCAACAGGCAGTGGAAATAATTTTGTTCAAACCATTTTGGGTCTTTCTGATGGGCTATCCATTTGTGTTTGGTACGAAAGTCTTGCAAAACAAATCCTCAGTTCATTGAACTGTAAAACGACCTCTGGCCTAATCAAAGTCAGGGCACAGGTAACTCACAGATCGAATTGCAATCTACAGATTGTTTTTTCGCTGAGGAAGGACAATCGGAGAATCTGAAAAAAAGCCCTCGAATCAAAATCACATTTGATGCTAAACACAGAGAGTAACTAGGCAGATGCCACTGAGGTGTTAGCGAGTGCACTGCCGCTACACCACCCTTCATTCCATACTCTCCAAGTCCTAGGTTTTTGTGATGCTGTGAAAAACGCTGCCCTCTGGTTTTCAACCTCTTTTTGATTTTATCTACAACCAATGAGTTTGAAAATTGTGCGCCCTTTTTAAAAATTCATTCACGGCCACAGTGTCTGACTGTGTCTGTCAGTGTATGACTGTGAAAACGTCGGTGCGGTATGAGTGCCTTACCGTGCCCGTTATGTTTTCTAGAATTTTTTCTCGCTCAATTTAATTGATCTGGCAGTGCCGTGCTCTTGGCGTGACCGTGTCCGCGCWGTGTTCATGCCGTGTTTCGGGCATTTGAGTAGATGCAGAGTAAATTCTCGCACAATTTGATTGGTCTGGCGTGTGCCTTGCCATGTAAAAACCGTGTTTGTGCCGCGAGCTTTTCACAGTCATGCGCAAACTGCTCTATGACATTCATATGGAAATAAAATTATCAGTGCGCATGCGCTCCATATTCTTCTCGTTATAATCGTAACTGTTCGTCTGTAGATGCCTTCAAGTACAAGACTTTGTGGATGTGTGTTTTATAGTTCATGGCGTTAAGATTCACGCCCATCAAGTGATTTTATCTGCTCGTTCAAGTTACTTTGCCGACATGTTTCAGACCAAATGGAAAGGGAGGTCTGTCATCCGTCTTAACCATCCACTGGTAAGAGTCTAATCATTGCATGTATTAACCGTACTGAAGGGGTAGCCGTAAATTTTGTCGCGCAGAGATGTTTCCTTGCAAGTTGAATGACATTGTGTTGTACTCTGCAAAAGTAGAATTCAAGACGTGCCTAAGTGCGTCTTCAAGTAATTTAGTATTTTGCCTCCCATTCTATTCTCATCTTGGTTCTTCGGAGCGCGCGCTATCCTAAAATCAAACTGCGCGTGCGCTCCAAACGCGTCTATTTCGTCACGGTACACGAAATCAAATACGTCATAAAGAAGACTTTCGTGAGCTATCAGTAGTTTTCTTTGACTTCAAAAGATCATTTAGAAGTTTTTATTAGCGCCTTCGATGATTTTATCAATGCCCAGCAATCGATGGATAAACTTCCACATTTGAACAAAACTGACCTCGAATCCAGCACTACTATTAACACAGGTAACCCATCACTTGAAGAAGAGCCTGAGATAATCGAAGATGTTGAACAAGATCCTTTACATCCTTCGATTTTTTTAGAAGATAATTCTTTATTAGGTAGCAGTTTGGACCATAACGAGAGTTTTTCCTCAGACGAGARTGAGATCTTTAGTCGATTGATGGAAGAAGACAATGATGCTAACTTCTGGCTTGACAGTGATGAAAGTAACCTTCTAAGAGAAGACGATGTGGAAGAAGATGAATCAGATATATTAAACTTGGAAGCAGTGCCCGTCGACTTTAAATCCTCTCTGCTTCTATCAGAAGATTCAGACACTGAAGATTTAGAAATGCCGAAGTTAATTGATGCCGAAAATCGCTCCACATATGCCATGGACTCACAAGCTTTGGATTCTATTTTAATTGAAAATTCCGAACGTGAAGTAAATGAAATGAGTAATTTCATGGATTGTGGTTCCAGTGGAACAGGTTATGATATATCGCCTGAAGAAGAAAATAAGCTTCTCTCGATGGACGTCTCCAGTTCTGTGAGAGAAGAAGTCAGTGTTCAGAGCACTGCTTGTTCCGCGAATGTTCTTCGAGACGACTCAAGTAGTACTCAAGGTATTAACGTGAAAACATTTGCTCAGATACATATACCACTGAGGCAAGTAGTTGCTGGGCCCTCTGAGATACRTAGGTCTTTTAGTGATGTTCAGCTAGCCACTTGCTCAAATGTAAGCTCTTTATCATGCAAACGGAAAGCTGACAAAAACCAAGATGTCACGGTTGAAGAAGATAGCAGTGGTGAGGAACTGCTTTTTCCTCTCATTTCTCGAGCACAACCACGGCCCAAGCGCCGCAGAGTTATCAACTACGACGATATGTTTATCAAGATGCTGACGCCTTGTGATGAACTTAGATTCATGGCACGGGATCTGCATTTCAATTGGATCTCTATCGGCGAAGCGGAGAGGAAGATGAGAGACATCTTTGACAGAGCGAGAACAAAAATGGAGTTCTGGAGGAAAAGAAATGTTGATTGTAGSCGTAGAGCTTTGATGCAAACGTGTGGCGACGAATCAATTTTGCAGTTAGTTTACACATCAATGTCTTCACCAGCAAATGACCCTGGAAAACCAGGAAATGACGCGTTGAATTAGAGAAAATTGACTGTTCATCAAATAGACAATTTGGCGTCCGACTAATCTAGCGAAGGCTAAATACGAATAATGTAATTTACTTTCAATAGCTTTAATATTGATAAATAAAGTTTTCATGTTTGAATTAGATATTATAAAAAGATACGGATTTCTTGCAAAATTGTTTGATACAGTGTGTGCAACGATGTGACTCAAAATCTCTAGAGATATAAATAATGATCAAACTGCCGCCATGTTGGTTGAACTAACGATAGAAACTAATGAGGAATTATTTGTTATCCTCAACCAAGATGGCGGSTATGACCTGACATGCACATGCTTTATTGAATATAATTCATTCAGTAAACAGGGTGTGGGTGTCCCCTATTTTAGATGCATGGATTTGGAGCAGACAGTCCAGTACCTTGGGCGGTAGTTCTCCCTTTTTATACCGCTTGTCGTGCCCTAGATTATCATTCCTTTGCTTACTAGTTGCGCATAACAAACATATTTATGGATCGATACAATTCAAACTAAGAATTTTATTCTCAAGACAATGACATAYGGTCTGAAATAGGAAAACAGTGCTGCGCCCACGATTACTAGATATATTGGCTTAAGTTTCTTTAGGTTGTGAGACATGGTTGGCGTAGCAGCGAGGAAATCTCTTCCTGTGCAAAGTCTCTGTCGCGTATGAGCCCTGGGTTTTGTTGGTTCTCTCGTGCGCCTCTTGTGCGGTTTTCTCAAGATTTCTCAATTTTCATTCGCGTACTCATATGTCAACACTTCTAAATCCAATTCAGCCAGTGAGCTAGAACGATCGAAGTATTCTTGATTTAAAACGTTCTCTCGCTCCAGCGCCTCTAGGACTAGATCCGGTTTGCACCGCTGCAGACTAAGGACTTGGGAGTTAGATGAAAGGTCATCCCTAGACTTTTCAACTATAGACTTTAGTGCGTCGGTTTTTACAGTTTTGATGGCTCCTTTAACTCTTTTTGTTTGGTTGTTGTTTATTTTCCTTGTTGTTTTTTTCGTTTTTGCTGGGTTTTTTTTTGGTTTAAGGTTTGTCGCACTTTGTAGCCGCGTTGATTATAATATCATTGGAACTAGCGAAGAAGAATAAAATATCTCCAAGCAAAGATAAAAACGAGGGCATTTATAAATTGTCCATAGATGCCGTTTACGGTCATAAAAGAAAAAAACGAGATGGTTTTAAAATCCCTGTAAGTATCAAAGTATGCCTCATCAGTTGTGAATTGTATTTTCAGGTCGCTCCATGGGCTTTTCAATCCATTTTACAGTACTTATACACTGGTACGTATGATGGACTGTGGTATTAACTATTAACTAATTTACAGCGCTTCTCAAAATACGTCGCCACGAAGGAGGTTTTGGTGGATGTCAATCATGTAATTTCCATGACATTCCATAGGCTTGTGTCCTAGAAAACGTTTGTGTTTTCCGAAAATGCCATGGAAACGCTTTGATTAACTTCCACCAAAACCCAATTTTGTCGCGCTAGAAAATTATACGATTACGCGCGTGTGATTGAGCGATGTAATTTCAAACTGAGTAGCCTACATGTCATTGCACTTAGGCTGTTATAGAGCCTTTTGCATCATCACTTGATGGCATTTATGACCGGCACAGTAATAGAGTCTCTTTCTCATGTAAATCAGATTAGACTTGATTCTATTGTTCCTGCCTGTTGTCATGGCTGCCATCRCGTGATGTTGCAAAGCCATGCCGCTGTTAGCTCGCTACGATTCGACTTGCCAGTCTGACTGTGCTTGGTGGACTGTACCATAGCTGCCATAGTTTCGCGGGCATTCCAAAAACGGTACTAACCAAGCACCTACACACCCGCGTCTCAGCGGTATACTAAATGAGCATACATTGCATTTAGGCGTGCTCGATCTTGCATCAAATTTCGAGACAAACTAGAGAAGATATACGGACTTTGCTTCATCTTAAGCTATCTTCTATCTAATTATTTTGCTTTCTTGCCCATAAAAGCGATGTTTGATTGAACATTGTACATTCTCTGTTTTAAGAATCAATTTCTCATACTCATTGATTCTCTATATCACGAGAATTATATATGTTATACAAAAGACAACTAGAAAAAAAGTATCAGGGATTTGCGTTATATGTAAACAAACGAAGGACGCGGACCAAACTACAACACTTCAACAACAACAACTTTTATTTGAACATGAATACAATCAGTTTACAATATTATAGTGAAAATTAAATTATAATGTACTAGGTAATCTAAAATCAATCAATGTAATTGAGATTACCTATTCTAGTTCAAGTTTTTATTTAGTATACCACTGAGACGTTTATGTGATAAGGGCCATTGTGATGAATTATAGTAATGCAGTGAATGACTGAAGATTATGTGTTGCTGTCGTAGATCGCCTTTGCGTAGAAGTCTCAAGATCCGAGGAGTGCATTTTGCTCGCAAAACAGTGCAAGCTGATTAAACTGAAGGAGACGTTGGAGTCCCGACTGTCCATGATAGAGTCATTTGGTGAGGAGTTTTACATTTCTGACGTGCTTCAGAATAAAAGGACTAAAGACATGGTCGCCATTTTGGTTGGAAGACAAAAAGAAGCAAAGTTTTCGAATAAAGTCATCATAACCAATAACCAACATGGCGGCTGTGACGTCACATAAACGCATTGGAATTTAATTTTAGTAATTATTCTTAAGGGAATGAAACATATGTTTTTTATGTTGGTCTGCATACCAAGTTGAATACAACGTAAGTACAATCTTTTCCTCGATTTCAGATCACGTGTCGTTCTCTTGAGAATAGGATTCTTCCATAGATATATCCATAGACCCTTTGTATTGAATTCCTAGAGGAATTGTTCTGGAGGACAAAACGATAGGCAGTCTTTTCTTATGCAAAAAAAGTCCTTTGTTTTGCCCCCCAGAACAATTCCTTTCTGGGCTCAGTGTAAGCGGTTTATTCTGGCATCTTCTCACGCGAAACCGTTAAACAAGACAATAATACTCTAACGCATGCACTTCTTTTCATCGTTTTAACTGATCGTTATTAAATTTTGGCCGCGAAAAAAGAAACACATTAATCGTTACTCATGCAGAAGCGTTTGACCAAGGTTAATTAAACTCAAACTCTGAAGAGACTCACAATTGTTTATGTTCTTAGTTAAGTAAATATGCATTTTTGATTTTGATTTTGAAAGGATTGTCCAAGCCGGGAACTAAAGCCATCAAAGTAATCAACGTCGAGCCTGACTCTACGTCTGAAGAGTTTCAAGAATCGTACAGCGCCTTGGTTGAAGCTGTGGTCCCTTTACCTTTCAGGCTTAAGGTAACTTTGAGCGTACATGCTGCATTATGGTCTAGCTTGGATACAAAGGTCTTTTGTTTATTATCCTTGTATGGTGTTTGCACCCAAGCTAGACCGCAATGCACCATGTTTATCGAACTTTGAAAAAGCTTATCACAATGAAAACTTGTGATATCACTTTTCATGTCAATTTTTATCCACCCTTAATTATATCATACCTAGAAGATATGTAACAGTTTTTTCCATGCTCCGTTCATTAATAAAGCACGCAGGAAGTGGCGCAAGCACGAAATAAGTGTAAGGAGAAGCACGAGACGTAGATGAGTGTTTCTCACACTTTTTGCGCATCTTTTTCGTTTTATTAAAAAGAAAGACGGTCGCAAGATCTATAGCAGCACTTCGCGCCCGCGGGTGGCGTCAGCACTTTGCTCCGTTCACTAATAAAGCACAATTAATTTCTATTCAATGCAAGAATTTTTTATCCTAGTTTTTATTGTCTTGATTAGTTTAGTGTTTGTTTGAATTTGTTGAGGAAATAGAAAACACGCGCGCGTGCTGTGTGCAGTTATAAAGCACGGGGGGTTGGCAGAACACGAGAGAAGTGTTAGAAGAAGCACGACGCGTAGCGGAGTGCTTCTCGACACTTCTCGAGTGTTCTGCCAATCATCAAGTCTTTATAACTAAACCCAGCACAAAAAGCAAGTTTTTCATTTTTTTAATAAAATTTAAACTTCTTTTTTTTTGGATGAATTGACGCAACTGAAAGTGCGCGGGAGTGCTGTGTGCTCTAGTGCATAAATAACGCGCTCCCAACCAATCAGAACGAGAGATTCATAACAGTTTTTTATAATTTAATTTAGCAATTTCCAAGTGGGATATTTTGTGACAGCCCAGTTGAAGAAATAGAAGGTATGCATACAAGTACTTAAACTTTACAAAAATGCAATATAATGATTCTTAAAATTTGGTGGAAAAGGTAAAAAATTAACTCGGCAAAGCCTATGATCGTTTTCATTAGAAAGGAATAAATTGTTTTCAGTTTCTTTTTATTTTGTTAATTCTGTTTTATTTAAAACTGTCGGTGGCACTGATCTTTACCACGAAATTCATTCTATAGGTACTACAAACCTCAAACTACAGCTCGACGCACGGCGTTTTTCCGTGAAACTCACGACATTTAGCAAGGCGTCATATCGAAGTTGATGCTGGGAGAGCCCCCATATTATATTTTATTTAACCTGAGTGTTTCTTCGTGTTTGCGAGCGCGTTTCTGGACCTGATCCCTAGCGGTTAGCGGTAAACCTGATCAGTGTAAAAGGTCTCTTATGAATTACCGAGTACCGCGTAAATTCCGATTATAAATCAAGTAGTAATGCTCAGTTGTAAGGGTTTATTGATGGGCTTAGAGCGGTATGTTATAAAGCAATGTCGCCTCTTGCCGTAACCGTACGTGACCGTCTTGTGATAAGAATGAATTACTGGACGATATAAAAATCTAACTCAGTGCCGTACGTTTCCCTCTCATACGAAAACCATTCTTATGGGAAACCATTTCAATGTTATGGCATATCGTACCGTGTACGTGCTGTAAAACTCAGTACCGTACGTTTCCCACTCATACGATAACCATTATTACGGGAAGCAATTTCAATGTCACGGTATGTCGCACCTATCACTAAAGCATAAAATTTTATTTTGTCTTTTAATGTATTTCTTTATCACTAAATTACTAATGTTCTATTCTTGTATGACAACCTTCTTGCAAGTAGGTGTAAGTAAATACTAGTACGTTTTTCAGTCTTTCTCCCATTTATGGAAAACTGGCCATACGATGACGTCACTCTTCCAGACGACAAGCCTCCTTTTACTGACATTTGCTTTGTTGTTGAGGAATTTAGGTTTTATGCTCACAAGGTAAGGTGACAAGTATGCTAGACACACTTGCTAATGGACTAATATACACCCTCTACAAAGGCTTTGCACCATCATGTGATGGCAGCCATGACAGGTGGTACAACAATAGTCTCCCCATCCCCCCCCCCCCTTGGAAACTGAATTATTTTCTCATGTAAATGAGACTAGACCAGATTCAATCGTTACTGCCTCTTGTCATGGCTACCATCACGTGATGGTGCAAAGCCTCTATACTACTTTCAATTCGTGTTTAACATGTTAATTAATGAGCGTTTGCCGAGTCAATGAGATTGATTCTTGAAAAATGACAAATGTGATCTCTACAATTTGTGCAGAAGATGGTTCTTATTAATAAATCAAATCACACTTTTTTTAGGCTTTGAAATCAATATTCATTGACGAATACGAATTTTCCATCGTGTTTTTTTAATTTTGTTTGCAGGTTTTCATGTGTGGTCGCAGTGATTATTTCAAAGCACTACTTCATGATCATTTCTCTGAAGCTGTATTACCGGAAGGGTGCACACCGGAAGTGACGTTGCACGACGTCAATGCTGAAGTCTTCGCTACTGTAGTGGCCTTCATTTACCGAGACTCAGCAGAGGTATCGCCAAATGAAACTAATCAATCAGGCGTATTTAATAGATGCTAAGTGCAATTCTGTTTTGTAGCCGCTCTATTTATCCTTATCAGGATCAAAGAAAGAAACTGAGGATGGAGGGGAGGGAGGGGGCGACAGTCATTATGCAGAAACAAGTGGGCACATATGTAGCGCTCAGATTGGGAATCTTCCCTTTAGGAGTACAATATAAGCTGATATTATAGCAGAAAGAAAGTACTGAGAAACGAAGTGGAGTAAAATGTCTAGTCAGTAACGTTTTATTATTGAGAATGTTTTGCAATAATTAGCATAGAAAAAAACAAATTTACAAACGTTTCGAGACCTGCGTCCGATGATTGCCCAATTTTTTCACTTCTCGTGAATGCGCACTGCTATTTTTACCGATGGTATTGCTTTGTTCCAGATAACCATGGAAACAGCCTTCAACGTGCTATGCGCAGCGGACCTCTACTTATTGAACGGTCTAAAACGAATATGCGCCAATCAGATCAGCAAGTACCTTGATGTTGATAACGTCATTTCCATACTGAGGACCGCGCGGCTGTTTTCGCTAGAGAGCTTGGAATCCAATTGCAGTTCGTTTCTGGCTTGTCATTTAGATAAGGTTGGTAAACAGCTGTTTTTTCGCATGTTAATGCTCGCTCGGCGCTTGCTCTCTTGCTCTCTTGCTCTCTTGCTCTCTTGCTCTCTTGCTCTCTTGCTCT